ACACATTCTCAGTGTTGGTCCGAACGTCGGCAGGAGTAGTACGGTTCACATTGTTTATTTTATTCATTTTGACATAAATGTCACGGGTCATGGAAAGGTCGTTAAGACCCATATTCAAGCCACTACCCCGTAAAATACTAATATAAATTTACATAACAGGATAGAGAACATGAGAAATTAACTGTGGATAAAGACAAAGAGTGCAAAATCACATTAAAAGTTGACAAAAATTTAAAAGTAAATTGCAACAGAACAGAAAAATGAAGTAAAATGGTGAAAAACGGAAAAAAAAAAAACGTAGTCATTAAAATATACGAATAATTAAAAACCATAAGCAGCAATCCAAGTAACTATAAGGAAAAAAAAACAAGTAGATCATAAAATTAAATGAGAATTATAGAAAATATATTTTAGAATAAAAATAATGCAGTAAAAAAGGAGAATCTAAGCTAAAAGGAATTTAAAAATGAAGATTTAAAAATATTTAGGGAAGTACTGTTAGCAACATCGTCAGGGATGGTGTTCCAATCATTTGTATTATGGATATAAAAAGAATTCTTAAAATAATCGGTTTCTGCCAAAGGTACCTGTACTTTCAAGGTGTGGTCATTTCTGGAGATTCTATTGGCAGGATTAAACATACAAGTTCTACCAGTATCGGTAAGGCCATTCATAATTGTATATGCCATAACCAACCTTGGGTACCTTCGTCTGTCCTCTAGAGATGACCCTCCAAGTTCTTGAAGTAAAACACTATAATCTGTAGTCCAGTCCCTGCCAATCCTTCTGGCACCGCGTTTTTGAATTCGCTCAAGCCAAACACTTTGGGTTCTTTAATAGGGGTCCCAAGCCGTGTGCGTACATCCACGTTGCATTCTGGGCTCGGTACATGTACCACTCTATGTAGCCTAGTTCCTGCAGACATTGAATGCGGTATCGGTAACGTAATTCAATTGTTTGAGGATCAGACTAACATATATTTGTGCGGCCTCGCATATGTGTGCAAATTCCTGGTATCGTACCATGCGCATACGTACAGTTGTACATATGCGTACGTGTACATTTACAGTACGTCAGAGCCAACATGACGCTCTCCAAGTTCAACAGGAAAATTCTCTCAAAAGGAGACTTGTCAGTAAGAGAGCTAGATAAACACGTCACCCATAAATGTAAATGGAATCGGTCAGGAGAGCATGCCATGGTGGACGGCCTGAAAGTGCAGTGAAGCCAGTGTTTTGTCAAAGCAGCAAATCGCAGGAAAAGTACTCTGTGGAGTCGTAGTTATTTTAAGCCCTGTTTTGTTTCTGTGAAACTTTTATGTGCAAAAACAACTTTGAAAAGTTCACAGTTTTTCTTAAGAGTGGACTGAGATCCTTGAACAAAATAAAATAAGAAATAGTAATGTTTGATTTGTCCACAGTTGCTATAATTCAATACAAAATTAACTTCATAAGGGGCAGTAATTTCAAATCTTTTTGCTTAAAACATGCCCCAGAGAGGCTTAGAATTGCGGGCTCCGGACCCCACACCGTAATGGGTCACTTCGCACTCGCAGTTTCAGGTATTTTTACAATCCTCAAATCACATCCCTGAGTTACAGAAATTGCAATCCCCTCCATAACGAACAAAGGGTGAACAGTAGTAAAAAAGTGCCTCGGATGAGGTTCATTTGAATGCGCAGAGAGACCAGATTTGTGCTGGACTGTGAATGGATTGGAATAGACTTGCCAGATATTAAGTACTGGATCCCTGCGGACTTCTGTTAAAACTTGGCATGATGGAAAATGGGCTGCTTTACAGCTGCGGCCTTGATTTGTGTCACTGGGATGCTGCAGTGGAGAAGCTGTAGCAGCTTACAAAAGTCAGAGACTTAGGTTGTGCGCTACATAACACAATGAAAAAATCAATCAGAACCGTGGAAATGGCATTTTACCGATCAAATTACTTTAGTGCCAACCCACTTACCACTACGTTGAAGCCTGACGGATGGAGCTTACCAGAGCCCTAAAACAAACGGAACTCAGTAGTCCTCGTCAGTATTTCCCCCCACTTACGAAACATTATTGAATTTCAGCAGCTCGATGCATAGAGCTTCAAGCAATTGCTTTGTTCTTACCTTCAAAAGGGCGAATCTTCATGGTCCGAAGGTCCCACTACATGTACATTTGAGGGCCCCACCTTGTCCAAAAAAAGAAAAAAAAGAAGCACCCTTTCACCTTGAATTAATCCCAAATACCCGTTAAATTAAATGTCTTCATGGTACCATATTTCTGTTCCTGCTTATCTCCATTGTATGGATACTCAAGTACATGTAGTATTACACAAAAATGTAACCTATTTTCCCTGTACATAGGCAGCCAGCTGTTCTGGTGTATATTCAAGAATTGATGGAATTTACTGAATGAATGTATTACACCTGAAAAAAAAAAGGAAACAAATTTTAATAACTGCAAAAGCAGAATGGTCAAATATCAGCTCGACTGGCTTTTTTTTAAAACAGCAATAGTCACCAGAACAAGTTGTGAAAATTGTGTTTATTGTAAGACGGTGTGTGAAATATAGTCGGGTTTTTCCCTTAAGGACACTATGGTGTTTTATGGTATGGCCCAATGAAACTCTTGATTGGCTCTATTATTTCTGGAAGAAATGGTTGTACATGTAACTGCCCCTTTCTCCATCAATAACCAGGGCTATATAAACAAAAGACAATATTTTTATGCTGCTGCCATCTTGGTCTTGTTCACCGAATCCTTGATCAAAAAATGAGATCAAAAACTTGCTGTAATTCCTTTTCTACAGCCTCAACCTGAGGCCTCATGTCTTACTGAGGACATTTTCACATCTCCAGAAGGAATTTTATCTTGAAATTTGGAATGATTTAAATGTGATCAGACATGTTCTCATTCCTTGGATTTAGTATGGATGCATGCACTTTAAATTATCATATAATGTATTCCAGGTTATGTTAGTTTATACAATTGTTCCTGAGTGGTTATTTAAACTATTCAGCCCCAAACTGGTGTATTTAAACTTTGTCGTTGGGGAAGGGGTGTAATTTTGTTCATTAAACTCTAAAGGAACAGTAATGGGCATCTTTGCCCACTGTGTGTGCGTGTGTGTGATGGTCGTAGAAAAGTGGTGGTTCTCGTAGAAAGTTCAGTCTGCATGTTAGCAGCGTAATGCTTGGTGACTAACTTTTTGTTCGTTTTGATGACTTCTTGGAAAGTCCCACTTGTTTTGCAGTTCATCCGTTTTGTAATATTTTAATGCGAAGGCCAGACTTACGGATCTCCAGTGCTCACCTTAGGAGCTGTGTTTTAAATACCTCCACAAATTTTGAGTTCAATTTTTTTTCAGAATTAGTGGTGATTTTTCTTTCTCTGTGCTCAGTACAACTGGGTAAGATGTTCCACCTTTCTTGACAGAATATATTGTATCATACAATAAAGACAATGACCCTATACATTTTTTAACCCAGACTAAAAGTGTATATTCCCACTCCTAAGCCTATTATTTTAGCACAGTATTTCACTGTGTATGAAATTGAGAGTTTGAACTCAACATTGTAAATGAATATATTTATTTTTATTAGCAATTTCTTTCTAGGGAAATATTAAGCTCTTTCGTGTCTTCAGAAGTTATATCTCTGAAACATTTCCTAACTTCTGAAATGTTGTTACTGCTCAAAATGAGACATAAAACAGTGTAACTGCTTTTAAATTACATGCATTTTCAAACTTAATTGATGATTATAAGCGTCAAAGAGTAACTGTAACCATATCCCCAATTTACTCAAGTCTGCAGTCACACAAGGAGTAACAGGAGGAATACTGGAATGAAATAAATTATAAATACAAGGTCATCACAAAATCTGCATGGTAAAAACAGCCACCAACAACCTTGATTCTTGTGCAAGACTTTTTATATAACCTGAAAGATGTATAAAATTGCTATCGAGTTAAGATAAAAGAAACTACGGTTGTCTGTTGGGTTTGTTAAGAAAGTACACCTGCCCCTGTGGAAACTTCATTTCTCAAGAAATTGACTAAGTTGTAAATAACTCTGTGGATGTGGTATACTTGTGGTGAAATGTACAGAGGACTAGCAGAATGGCCAAGCAGCGGAATTATTTTAGCCTACAGGCTCATAATTGAAATGCAAATGCTAACTTGTGATGTCACGGCAAATACTGGTGCCCCGGATTCCCCAAAATCTGAAGACCTTAAACTTGGCTAAATTTCTTTGCCAGGGTTGTGTGATGTGAAATGCAAGTAACACCTGCATTTTTTTTTGAAATGGAAACCGGCCATTCAGCCCTGGTGAGAGAGATCTAAACTGCCAAGACGTGACTGTAGAACACGAATCCTTCAAATGTTGTGAAGTACATTTCCTTGCAGTGTACATGGATATACGTATGTTAGGTGCAACGGTTGGATCTTTGTGATTGGTTGATAGTGCTGTAGCTGCACAGTGCTATCAACCCTGACAGTGCAGGGCGGTAGATCAGACACATTGATCTGCTTATCAATTTGTCCTGCAGTCCTGTTGAATACTTCTTTCTTTCCAAGACGTGGCTCTGGAAGTTTTTCACGAAGGAAGTTCAGTCCAAAATTTCCTGCTGCAGTTGATTGATCACGCAAACGGCATGCCAGCACTACCAACCAAAAGTGTGTTCCCGCAATTGCACCTATCTATTTCCCTGATACACGTATCTAGGTAAGTCAGCCCTGTAACTCCTGGCTTCGGATTTCTTTGTAGAATGATTCTCAGACAGAGAGTCGACTAGTCAACTTGATTGCTCTCCAACTATCCTAAATTGTATCCGTTTTATGTGCTTACATTCAGAGACGTATATACATTTTTGTGTCCTGTTGTTTCAGTGCAATGGAAAAATGAACAAGAAATGCCGGTTTAATTCCTCGTATATTGGCAGTGTAGTTTTATTTTAGCAGTTGCTTTGGATGTTTTAAAGTAAAAAGAAAGGCAAACTAGAATGTGACCCATATTGTGTTGGAGCTAACAAGTGTGAAATAAATACATTAAAACGGAAATCAGAAAATGTGGTTTAAAAATGTTATTCTTGTGTAAAGTCATCTCCCCTGCCGTCGACTTCCCCCCCTATTGTTTCCAGGGAGCTGATAAGCGTACCCGCCTATCATTACGAAGAGAAGCAGGCTGGGTGGTTTCAAGGTGTACTGGGATTAGTGGATTGATGAATACAGGTATTGGACTTGGGCTCGGAAGACAATGTACGTGTATATGGAAGGGTGTGTCGCCCACACAATTTGGTTTTCCAATCAGTAGTGCTCGACCATTTTACATACAATGTGGATAAATCCAGGAAGATGAAAGTATGATTGAACATCGGACATGTTCTGACCATTTGTGTTGTGTGGCCACACAAAGTGGATGACACTTTGTACACGACAGCTCATCTGACCTTGATAAATGACAGACTCAAAACGGACCATGACTAAGCACTTTCTGTATGTAATTCTACCGTCTGGAACCAATCAATGCACAGTGCCTCTGCATACAAAGGATAAAAGCTGCAGTGACGTCCTCACAGGTAAGTCCATTACAAGTCCTTGTAAGACCCAACAAGTAACATGTCCTCAATGGTTTATCGCCTGTCCTCTCATCAATGACAAACCATTCAATCTCCAGTCAAGGTCACAAGCTATCCTAATTAATTGGACTTGACCACAAATCTGCGATGAACACACCTGAGCGTTGGGACACGACACCAGTGGCTGTCAGGTGTCCTGAGGTAGTTGGCACTTTTATCCTTTTCTTCAAGCCAAGGGAAAAAAGTAAGTATCAAGTTCCTGAAAGACACATTTGATGGTGCAAGATTCCTGAGGCATTGATTCGAAAGCAGAGTCATGCGACCTGAATGCGTGGCAAGATGCTGCTCAGCCGTCCATCAATCTTAAGTTTGGCCAGCTGGTCAGCTCTCGTCGGTCCAATGTTCACTATTCCTAGAGGTTTCTTTTGCTCTTTTGCAGCCAGTGCAAAACGGAATCCGGAATAGACCTGCGGCGAACAGCAAGTAAAATAAAAGGAGTGCATGGTTAAGATGTCAGAAAAGTAAGTGTCAGTCGGTTTAGTCTGATAGATTTCTGTCTAACACTGTCGGCACCAACCTCGAGAGATGACCCTGCCACCAGAACAGCGTCAGCCTCAAGCAACCGGGCAAAGGCCGATTCCCTGATGTCTCGCGGCACGTTGTCTCCAAAGAAGACGAGGTCTGGTTTCAAGATACCATGGCAGGAGCTGCAAGAGGGAACAGTAAATCCGGCTACCGCCTCATCTGAGAGAACGACATCACCGTCAGGAGCGATCACCTGCCAATAAGATGGGTACGTGAAAAGAGTAAGAAACGATTTGGGCTTAATCTTTAAGCTTTCCCTGCTTATCAATTTTGATGAGTCGTGGCTATGATCAAACAACCAAATATAGACCCAAAGCATCTTTGCTTCATAGGCTCTTGGCACCATTGTTAAATAGGCCCAAGGCATCAGTGTTCCATAGGCCCCAAGCACCAGTGTTCTAAGGTCCTAGGTTTCAGTGTTCTGTAGGCCCTAGGCACCATTGTTTCATATGCCCTAGGCACCAGTGTACCAGTAACCATAGGCCCTAGGCATCAGTGTTCAGTAGGCCCTAGATACCAGTCTTTTGTAGGCCCAAGGGACCAGTGTTACATGTATGTAGGCTCTAAGCACCAGTGTTCTGAAGGCCCTAGGCACCACTATTCTGTAGGCCCAAGGTACCACTGCACCATAGGCCCTAGCTGACAGTATTCTGTAGGCCCAAGGCAACACTATTCTGTAGGCCCAAGGCACCAGTGTACCATAGGCCCTAAGTGACAGTATTCTGTAGGCACTGGTGTTCCAAGGTACCAGTGTTCTGTAGGCCCTAGTGATGCATGTTAAATCTCCGTGATGATTTGATCTTAGTGTAATCATTTGATCTAATTTGCCAATGGTTCCACCATCAGCCAAGTGATTTTTCTTTCTAATTCACATTTGTGAAAACTGTTTCAAAAAGGTAAGTAAAGTTGGAGATTTTATAACGGATCAACCAATCACAGGGCCAATCAGTTGGTCATGCAGAGTAGCCAATCATAGCCAGCCATTTAGGAGATATGGAGACAGAGAATGTGGTCAAAAAAACGATATCTTTGTATGCTTTCCTCTTTTACCTGAGATTCTACACTAAATTGCGGGTTCATCTCCTTCATGCGTTTCTGCAGCTTGTCTCTGGTAGTTTTCTGTCCGCACGACAGACACACAATCCACGCTGAGCACCCGTGCAACTCGATCACCCTCCGACTCTGGGCCTTGGTGTGCAGTGCGTCCACATTCTGCGTGACTAGCCAGTGCACCTTGCCGGCCCACTCCCACTCTGCCAAGGCCCAGTGGGCAGCGTTGGGAAGGACAGAGCTGAACTTGGGCCAGCCAACAAAATTTCGGGCCCAGTATCGCCTCCTCTTGGAGGCACTCTTGAGGAAATCCTGGTACTGGATTGGTCGGCTGTCACTCCGGGCATACAGCCCCACACCCTCGGACCTGTAATCAGGTATCCCCGACTCTGTCGATATTCCAGCTCCAGTCAGCACGAATAATCTCTTGGAAGCAGATACAAAATCTTGTAGTTTCTCTAGAGCAGCTTCATCAACTGGAGAACTTTCTGGAACACATGATGTTTCTTTAACCACACTGTCGTCATCTGGCTTGAATATCTGAGGCTGTGTGGACAGGTGTTCGATATGTGTTCCAGATGCAATGGTTGCAAACATGACCTGTTTCAATGGCACCTTAGACGATTTTAAAATAAAATTACTTCGTCTGCATGGTCTGTTAGCTAAGGAAACTACATGTAGAATAATAGCTGCCATTCTGCACCGGCTTATGTTGGAGATAATCAGTTTCTGTAGAGATCAAGATTCAGAGTTCATGATCAGAACTGTGTAACAGATAAGACGACAAATTCTACATGGTATCATTGTATTTACGCCGGGCATTGTCAGCGTCAGGGATTGGGTGAGCGCAAACATCACTTCCAAATCATTGCCTACAACAAACTATTTACGTGAGCCTTCACCTTCCTACTTACGGATAACAGTTCACTGTAAATCTACACGCGTTACACGTAATTCTCTTGAAGCATATTCTTATATTTTGTCTAATAAAATGCCAAATTTCTCGTTTCCAAATGAACACAATGTAAACATCTTTCTTACGCAACTTCACATTTTAACTATAGAGGGCGCCTTTCAAAATACGTGGAGGGCGCAAAACTCGACTGACCACGGTGGTCGAGTGAGAGTGAGAGTGAGACTCGTCATAAGCTTGTCGTGTTTTAAGAAACAACCATTGAATCAGATCTACGGACTACATTTTTTGGGGAGAAAATATATCGCTCAAAATCATTCTCATGAGTTGTGTGCAGAGAGCGTTAGGGATTCGATTGCTCTTTCGATGTTTTTGGGAAGAGTCGAAGTTGAGCTTGGGCAACTGCAACTTCACGTCTAATGCATCTGCAACAAGTGACACGGAGTTGGCAGGTCGTAATTTTGTCATACCACCGTCCCTGCACAGTCGATTTTGGCAAAGGACGTCTTCCTCGGTATGCCAGATGGCTCGATCAAACAGCACTTTGTCTAAAGGCATGGATCTGAAGGAAGTTCTGCGCATTCTCTATCGGTTTGCGCCGTGTTCGCTCGCCGAAGATTGGGACAACGTGGGGCTGCTTGTCGAGCCCACGCCCCCGCATCAGGTGACGACGATGTTCCTGACCAATGACTTGACGGAGGAGGTTCTGACGGAGGCGATTGACAAGAGATCAGATCTCATCCTGGCCTACCATCCTCCAATATTTGTGCCTTTGAAGAGATTGACCATGGCCAACGCGAAGGAGAGGATCATTGTCCGAGCTATTGAAAACAGAGTGGGCATTTACTCTCCTCATACGTGTTACGATGCCCTCGAGGGTGGAGTAAATGACTGGTTGGCTGAAGGATTAGGTACAGCATCGTTCCTGAAACACAAATTTATAGACAGCTTATCTATCAGCAAGACATGCTTTGAAATCAAGATGATTTTGGATAAGTGATCTGCATGATCGCCCAAACATTCTGCAGATTGGTCAATTCTGCATGAAATGTCCAACTTCTTTAACTTCCCTTTTTCAAACAATATTTCACAGCCCTGAATCAGGAAAGGCGATTGGCTGATAGCGGAATTATTGACAAGTCACGCACTAAGATCAACCAATCGCGCAAAGTTTGGGCTATCTTGCATATCCACCAATCGCGCTGAAAAATACCTGCCAAATTTTGGAGTAAGGGGTTGATGGATCTGCACGATTAGTCGATCTGGCAGCACAATCTCCTGGTGTCATCTGTCGATTGTCTTTTCTTTTGGGTGTATTTTTTTGGGTACTCACTGCAGGGGCACGCCACAAGATGCGCAGGTGTATACATGTGCGTTTGACGCAGAGCACGCTGAATACACGCAACTTATTTACTCCGGTATGTATGGTCTTTGCGTACGCACAGAATGCGTGCAAGAACCCGCTTGTAATCACCTGTCTTTCTTTTGCCCATTGGGGGTGCACTCCAGCTCGGAGCAGATTCAGAATGCTATAGGGTTGTCTGAGGGGCATGGTTAACTCACAAACAGCCAGTAACAGGTCAATCAGCAGCTCTTGAAGATTTTTTTTTTATGGGCATTGAAGCATCCCGTCTTCAGTTGAAGAGAGCCATGTCGGTGGGGTGTGTTCATTTTGTTGCTTGTGACGCACACATCGACGTGACATAACGCACGCACTTCACAATCATTTGTGAACCACCAAAGTGCAGTTCCAACCAAGGGAGCCTCCGTTGGTAGGAAAATTGGCGCCCTCCCTCGGTCTCGCTCGGGGCAGAAAGGGCTAGAGTCCATGATTTTCTGCAGGACCAAGTGACAGCTCAGCACAATCGACTGCCCAGTGGCCGCATTGTTTCACAGCTGTTGCAGTAAGCTCGTTTGTTCACGTCAGAATTAGAAGTCACACACCGTGGCACCGCTTGCCACGCAAGTGTCATTTCAGGGGGAATTTGTATATATGGTGATTGGCCTTTGTGTGTAGCCCGGAAATGAAAAGACCGAATTTGCATCATAATCACCAGCTTCACAATAGTCCCCACTTCGAAAAGAGGCAACGGGAATGTGGAAGTGTGAGTAGAGCCGCATGCCACCGAACAATGAGCCTTTTCACTGTGTAAATTAAAGTGTGCAGAGCACGCAGGGCCACAAACCGAGAATTTGCGGTTTGGCAGGTGGCCTTCATGGCCAAGCGAGGCTGGAATTCTTGGAGTCGGCTTTCAGAAAAAAGTTCCAGTCGGCAAGGGGTTAATAGAGTTAACTTCTTCCCTTGCCTCAAGCAGGTACGTGCAGCGTGGAACCCCTGACTACCTCTAGGAAGCCCTTAGCCAATGGATGGACCCATAAGATAGAATACCTGGAGACCGATTCAAGCGCGATGTCGCTCCCACCAGATTGGAGTGGGTCCATCTCGCCAGTGACAAAGATTCAAACCACAACGGGGTAAACAGGAATATATTGTAAATCCTTCCCAGACTTAATTGTAGAGAAACAAGTTTAAAACTTACCTCTTATCAATGCTTTTGGGGTAACAATTTGACTTCATTTGTTTAAAACACCCCTCTTGCCATGTTATGGTATGTTCTGGTCGCAAGCAGTCGTAAACAATCGCTCTGTATGTGGAGATCTGTGCACGTGGCAAGTACTGCCTGAGGTGGTGCAAGCCAGTCAGTGCTTTATCAACTGTTCAAGGCCGGTCACGTGACACACTCTGGACCAATAAGAACGCCTGAACTGTCTCATGGTAGTTATGCTCATATTTTAAAGTGCATGCATCTTTTTCTCCCCGCAGGATTCAGTGCGTAGTTACTTGCAGTGAACAAGGGCTTGTGTCAATCATGAAAAGTATGGAAGACCAGCCGGACATTAAGAAAACTTTCCAGGTCACAAAACTGGAAAAGGTAAGTGCTTCCTTAGAGCGTCCCGAGATCAAAGACACTGATGTGGGTAAATCTGGAAACTGCCAACGCAGTTGTAGAGTATTGTTTTGTTTTCTTTAGGTGAATGGTTTGAATTCCGTTTGATTCCAGTGTTTGTCATTCTTACATTAATCTTTTACAACTTGGTGGTTGTACTCTTGAGTACTCCGCTTTGGAGTTTCAGTAAGAGGCCTTGGAGAGTGGCTTACTTCGAAATTAATTCTTTGAATTTGTGGTGTTAAGAGCATCAATGGTATCTTGAGGGAGTTTGTTCCATTTTCAAACAGATCTTAGTAAAATGGAGTTCATATAGCAGTTAGTTTTAGCTGCAATATTTCAGAGAGTTGGAAGTTATTTCCTCTTCGAGATATAGGTATTTTTGGTAAACAGGACTCTAGTCTAATGGGTAAGTAAGTAAATAAAATAAATCTCAATTTCCGTGGTCCAGAATACCAACAATTTGCCGTAGGACAAATGTAGGAAACTTGTTCTTGAAGTTTGTGTCACATGTGTTCAGCAGCAGGTTGACATTGGATAGAACGGTTCATGTCAGTTCACCCTTTGGAAAAAAGTGTCATAAAAACAGAAAACCCCCAAAAGAGCCAAGAAACCAAGATGTCAAGTATTAATTCCAAAGAGAATTTCAGACTTGATGGTTTAACTTGATTGTTTCTTTTTCAAAAATTTCCAGCAGAGTCCAGCTCTAATTTTTGAGGGCTTTGATTTCGTTAGAGGGCAAAGATGGTGTTGGAGCATTTGTTCACTTTTCATAGATTTTAAACACTTCTAAGGAAAGCCCAGAGGAATTTGGATGTGTTAACACTTCCCACTGACAGTATTTTAATAAGTTTGTTATAAAACATTACATTTTAGTAGAGTTTGCACTGTATTGTCTCATATTTTTTCATTGGTTGTCGTTTTAGCTACCAATTCCAGGTACTGGCACTGGCAGAATGTGTAAGTTACAAAATCCTGTTCCCATGGCAACATTGGTACAACGTGTCAAAGAGCATCTCGGCCTGCAACATGTTCAGCTAGCTCTTGGAAGTCAGAAATCACAGGGTATGATTGTAAGGCTTTTTTTTCTGAGAAAGGCAGATTTATACCTTACCTCTCACCCTTCCAGATTCTTTGAAAAACCCACAGAAAGTTTTTGGAGGATGATGTACAATATAGGAAGGTAGAGCCCAGCCACTGTTGCTTTACACGGGGCTTGGTGCCCAGTAAAAGTGGAAATGCAAAGAATATGCCTTTAGTTTCCCAAACGGGGAGAATTTTAGAGGGTTTAAGAAAGTACATTTATATTGGCCTTGCAAAAGTGCCTCAGAAATTAATTGGACTAAAGCTTAAACCTTAAGCTTTCCTCTGACGTATGAGCTCCACTACACTTTTGGCAAGAACCCTAAGAAATAACCAGAAATAACTAAATAAAAGGCAGTAAGAATGGAAATTCACTGATTCATTTCTCTCCATCCAACAGCGCATTCAGCGCCAATCACAGGATGGAGTGATAATTAACAAACGATGAAGAAATGTTCACTTAAATATGCCAGGGAAAACCCGGGGAATCAGGTAGGGACTGAAAACTCAATCCACCTGCTGACCTTGGTGGTATTGGAACCCGGGCCACTGAGGTGAAGGCAAGCAAAGAAATACTCTACCAGCCTGACTCCCCTCAATAATAAATGAATAGATCTGTCATCTTTGCCCATTGATTTTTAATTTCTCTTTGTTTTGCTTGCTTATTTGACATACAGGGCCTTTTTTTTATTTTCTCTCTTTTTTCTTTTCTTTTTTTCAGACTCGGAAGTCAAGACTGTTGCCATTTGTGCTGGTTCAGGGGCCAGTGCCCTGCGCCGGGTACCAGCCGATGTTTACCTCACAGGGGAGATGTCGCATCACGACATCCTGGCTGCTGTGGCCAGGGGAACCAGTGTGATCCTCTGCAACCACAGCAACACCGAACGTGGATATCTACACGTCCTCGGGGCAAAATTGACGGACCTGCTAAAAGGGGCCGTAAATGTTGTTGTATCGTCTGTCGATGCTGATCCGTTAAATGTAGTTTAACGGCCAGTTAAACTATTCAACATTTCCACTTTATCTTGTTGGAGTAAGAGAAATGCATGCCATGAAATATTGCATGCCAAAATCTAAACAGCAGAAATTACAGCATAGATGAACTTTGATTTTAGAAAACCTTATCTGAAAGTCCTAACTTGTTGAATTGTGCTTCTCTTACCTTCTGACGGTTGAGAGGGGTGTATTCTAACCTTCCCCACCCTAATCCCGAACAGATCTTAGACACCCAATGCCAGATGTTTATTGCATTTTAAGTTCATGTGTTTTCCTTTCTTCCAAAGACCAAATTTAGACTGGAGGAACCTTTTCACCAACTGTTGCTTCACAACCAAGCACATCATCCTTCCAATCTGGTGCAATCAATTTGTTTAAATACAGATCTTTAAAATGCGCCTTTGTGTCTCAGTCAACCTGTTTTTCAACTTTTGTTTCACTATTCAAAGGGTATTTTACTGCCATTTTGGTTTTATGTTAATGAATATTTCCATATTCATGAGCAAAACTGTGATGTCATCCCAGGAGGAAAGCCTCAGTGTTACATTGGTTTGTGCCAGTGTAAAATTGTATCTGTTTTTGTAGATTTTGCTGGACAAAAGTTTTCCATCTTTGCTGATTCATTGCTGTGTATGTGCAAAGCAGTAAGCAAGCATCAATCCCTTAACCAGTAAATTCTGGGTGCATGGTTTGAACAGAAAAACCTACGCACTGAACGTTTGTCTTACTTGGATGACATCACAGCAACAGTGCCCTCAGTTGTCAAGCAAATTCACGATTCAATGCATTTTGTTCAAACAGCAAAACAGTAGAAAACAGGAATGTAAAAGAGTTTTTATTCATTGAAAACTCTGTAAAAGTTGCAGCAAAATTGTATCTGAGGGAAATTCACTGTAGCTACACTTGAACCACTGCATTCCCACTCACACTTCCATTTAAAACCGAAGATGAAGTGTTGGGGGGAGAGACCTCCATCCTGGCTTGTTACAGATAAAAAAGACTTCCAACAGTTTTCATCAAAGCATGTATCACAAAAGCTTGATCATAGTTTTACACTTCATAGTTTAAGACTACTGCACCGGTTGTGAACAGTCCTAGATTAACAATTTCTCTGAATAACTGCATTTGATACTGAACACTATTATAAGATGCCTTTTACCAATTTTTTCTATACCTAGAAATATTTTCTCAAACAATTCTATCACTTCAGTCATGTGAATTTTTCAAAATAATTGTCTGCTTGAGTGGTCATAAGCTGTATACATGTACCAAAAATGTAACTTTGACCTTAATTTTATTGAAATGACAGAGCCACTTTGCAGGTCCATGATGTGGAAGACACAGAATAAACTTGGGAATTACCAAGCTTCAAAACAAAGTTTTCAGTTTCTTAAGTGTCTAGTTTTAAAAAGCTGAAATAAGTTTGCAGGAATCATGATCAAAGCATCGGAATGAAGAAAATTATGATAAAAATTGGAGTTAATCGATCTCCAACTGTGGATGATGGTAAGGACCTATAGCCTGTATGCAATCAAATTCACTGAACACCATTCCCGAATGTACTGTATTTATGTAATCGAAAGTACCACTGACTTTTAAGCTTTATTTTCCACGCCCCTTTCTTTAAAAAAGTTTCCCTATATTATTAGAAGTATCTCTATTGATGAAATGAAGTTTGAGCGCATTCTGCTGATGAACTCGAGAGGAAACTTCTGGTCGTGTTAAAGAGCGCCAACTGTTGTTGTGCATGTTACGGTTGAATGAACGACTTCACGAGTCTAAAGTGCCGTGCCCACAAAAAGGGGGCGGGCCACTCGCCTTGTTAATATTGTTACCCTACAGAGGCATACAGAAACGACACGGATTACTTTCCACTGAGGTTGCAATTGATAAAACAACATAAAACTGAAAAATTATTCCTTTTTTGTCATAAACGAGTTTACTTTTTATGAAATGGAGAGTCTGACAGGTTTTGATGGGATAAAGTTTGGGAACCTTAGTGAAAATGGAAACACGCAAGTTTGGTTTTCGGTAGTGGTCACGTGATCCACCTGTTTCCGAAGTGAATTCCTTCGTCTGGTGCTTGCACGATTATCACTAGCAGTGCTCTTTATGTGTTGCAGGTACAAGTACCAGACGTGATACGCTAAATGTAATTTGAGTGCGTGACTAAACACTGAAACTCGTGTGATATAAATCTATTTCTCTGAGGAAATACATCTCTCATTACTCACGACTGCACGAGGGAAAGCTTGTAGAGAGAAACACGTGCTTGTAGCTGATAGCTTGGAACAGGAGGACACCCGATAATGGATGATTTAGGTGAGTATGCTCATATGAACACGGCTAACTGCATTCTCCCTGCACAACTGTAGCACTAGACAAGCCTACCGCCTAGCGTGACTAGCACGTAGTAG